CCCCGCCTGTGCCGCCACGCTCCGCCTTCTCCACCGCCGTCTGGTTTCGCCACCGACGCCATTTTCCCCGCTCGCTGCTTTTGCCGTCCGCCTAGCTCCGTCCCTCCAACGACCCCCACAGTGGGGGAGGGTGCCCCCTACCATCTAAGGTAGGTCCCCATTTATCTACTTGCGCTTATTTGATATTAATGGCGCTTTCGAACCGCTGGGTTAGCGGGACTCCCCAAAGAAGACCCTGAAACAAGAGGATATCTGGACCTCTGTTGGAGGAAGAATGAGCACTAATTCAAAATAGACTTAAAGGAGTCCTCTTCCTTAAAACTTTTCTACTATTAAGGAGGGCTGGTATTAATAAAGGGGCTGTGCTATATCTTTTGTTATATAAAAAGATGATACAAAAAAGTTTGGATACATGATTCTTTCTATGTGATAATGTGCATGTGATAATTAATATAATGGCGAATAATGTATAAGAAAAAAAATAAAAAATATATAAAAACGAATTAAAATATAAACATTACTTGAGATACTTTGTATTTGTCTATATTTTGCTGATTTTTGGTATTTGCTGATTTTTGGTATTTCCTACTTACCATGGGTCCTATTTTGATTTTGTGTGTGGGTCTGAGGCAACAGAACAAAGTTCGAATCCAGCGGCACCTTTAAGACCAACAAAGTTTTATTCAAGGTATAAGCTTTTGTGTGGACACATACTTCTAAAGATACACGTCTTCAGCTAGCATGCATACCGAAGCTTCTACCTTGAATAGAGCTTTTGATGGTCTTAAAGGCACCACTGGACTGGTTTTTTGGGGGGAGGCTGATTTTAATGGATTTAAAATATGGTTTTAACATATATGTTTTAAATCATTAGATGACTTGGGAGGGCAGAGGGATGGGATACAAATTTTGTAAATTAATTGATAGAACACATAAATATGGAAAGTGCTTTCCACACGGACTTTCTATTAAAAAGCCTCATGCCCTGTGATGTGGGCTATTCTTCGCTCATACAGAGGGCGATTTCGCACTAGAGCTTCCTCGTGGTTGCGCCGCCATTTGCCCCGACACTATTTGTCAATTTCACACCCGAGGCTGCGGGGCTGCATTTGACCCACGGCTTCGCCCGATTTCCTCTGCAGTTTCATGATCCTCAAAAAACAGGATCACGAAACTGCGGGGGAAATCTCCATATGGTATTTGGGACTTGTGGCCATATTTGCCTATTACATTTTTCATGATGAGAAGCACTGTAGCTCACACATTTTGAGCAATAATCACATTGTGTAGTTTAAAAAATTATAGTAGATATGTAAAGCAGGCTATCTGACACTTATTGGCCATATTTGGTTTGGCAAATTTTTCTTTCTGGAGCAATCTGTGTGTGAACAAGGCTGCACAGGACAGAGGAAATCCTTGGAAAGCTTGACATGCTCTCTTTGCTTACTCTTGGTTTACAGTACTGTTGTATTTATTGGTACAGGCCATGCTCCCATAAATGGTTGGAATAAAACCTCAAATTTCTATTTGAATGTATGGTTGAATGAATAATTCCAGCTGGCTACTGAGTTGCAGATTAAGAACAGGGAAATCACTCCTGGACACCAGGGGAAGACAAACCACAGTTGGAACCTGCAAATCTATCCCACAAATCATGGATCAGCTAGTGGAAGAGTCTATTGGCTGATTTCGCACTAGAGCTGCCTCGCGGTTGCACCGCTGTTTGCCCCGACACTATTGGTCAATTTCACACCCGAAGCTGCAGGGCTGCATTTTGACTCACGGCTTCTCCCGTTTTCCAAGATGCTAGCGGCATATCCCACATATACAGAATCGCAATGGGCCTGCAAAAAAGGTTCCATCTTCATCTGCTCCTCATACCATCTAAGAGCCTTTCACGAGGTGGACTCGAATGCTTTCTCATTCACACAAGCATCCCATACGACACGGGCCATAAGCATGACTCCCAATTTTTCTTTCTTTACAACCCCTGCAAGTATGTTCTATCCCTCCCTCTCTCCCTCCCTCCCTCTCTCTCATATTTCCCCCCACCCACACATGCAAGCTAGATGCTGACAGAGACATGAACAAATCTCTCCAATGAATTTTACAGGTAACTATTGGCTGCAGGAACCAGGCAAGAGACACTCTGATCAGCCCATAACCTGGGCAGAGCAGGGCTTTTTTTCCTGGGGGAATGCGCCAGAGCAAAGTTCCGGAACCTCTTCAACAAAATTCTTTTTAAAATGTTTAAAGTTCTTGAGTTTTTAGTATACAGATTGAAAAGTTTATTTCCCTCTTGAGAGTTCCAGCGCCTCTTCTTCTTCTTTTTTTTTTAAAGCACCCTGGGGCAGAGTATATTTTTAACTTTGTTTGCCCCTTCTCTGCCCTCTCTGTTTCCTCAGTTGAAATTGCCACCTCCCATCCTTGGGTTGCAATTTCTCCTGAGAGGGGGGAAAGTGACAAAATTCAATAAGCTTGTCTTTTAATAGCTCTTAACAGTATGGGTGGGTGGGGAGAGGGTTAGCATAGGGAACCAAACAGGTTAAAAGCTCACCTTCTGTGTTATAGCGCAGTTCCACAGATGCCATGGCTATCCCCCCCACACACTCTTTACACACCATTCACACATTTCCAAGTGTTTCTGTTTTTAGTTAAGAGCAGCCATGGAGGAGGGATTCCCCAAATATACAAATTCCACTAGTAGAAAACACCATCCAAAATTGCCAAACAATATATTAAACAATTATAAAGTTGGTGGTGTCACAACAACAACATTAGTGCATACTGTAACTATAATAAGGCATGATACAATATTTCCTCCTTTGTAGATAAGACAAAAAGTCCACGTAATCAGTGTAACTTGTTAGGAGGAGTCCACATAGCCATAATATTGTCCGAACAGCCTTTGCAAAGACGTCCGTTCCTGATACTTAGAAGATGTGTTTCCTTCGACTTCTTCAGTTTGCTGGCTGTGTGAGTGGAACCTGATTTCAGCAGTTTCAACAGACCACAAGGTTCATAGTGTAAGAAGCGAATCATAAGAAGAAGAGGAGGGATTGGCTTCAAGTTAAGGCAGCGAGACTGGGGGGAAAGTTCTAATTTCCCACATAATTTCTCAAATGTATGTCATGACCCCCTCCTCCAATCACTCACCTTTTAGCTAAAAATAGAATTCACTCCCCACCTTTCCACAGCTCACCTGGTCTATCAGCTTGGGTCAGGTCTATCCCACTTGCAGTGCCCCTGACTGTTGCCCAGACAGCAGTTTCCTGTCTCTCTCACTTCCCCATTCACAGCAGCGACAGACAGCTGGGCTGAGTCCTCCTGAAAATGTGCATAGGTGGCATCTCAGGGTCCTCAGGACAGCCTGGGCTCCAGGAATACTGCCCTGATAGCCCCCCCCACACACACACACACGCAGCAGTGGCCAGCACATATGCATTTCCATCTTCAAAGGTGATTGTTGAAAAATGCTCCTTACACAACTGTCTTTGGTGTAATTTGAAAATTGATATAAGAGATTTTACTTCGTTTTTGCAGTGATACCTAAGGAAAAGACCAAATCTCTGGGAAGAAGGAGATGGGGAAATAGCAGGGTGTTTTTGTAAAACTTGAAATACAGAAGGGGGGCTTTAATTTAATATTTTCTTGTGTATTCTAGCAGAACACCATACATAGTCATTAAAAGTTACATAAAACAAGAATAGAAAAATAGAGTAGGTTAAGAGATAGGTCTTCAAATATAATAGTACTACTGTTGAAAAACATTAGGATCCAAAGAACGTCCATAACTATTAAACAACAGAGACACTAAATACAGAGTTTTGACCAAAAAAACGCTCTGCCGAAGTGCTTTTTTCATGTATTTTTGGCATATGACCTTCCTGCACCAGCAGTATTAGTTCACCAAGGAGTTTAAATGTCTTTCTCCTTTTATTATGGAGAGATTTCATAAGATGCACTGTGCTTTTGTTTTTCAGTGCAAAGGGGAACTGTGCGGATGTGAAAGGAACAGCGTGGTAAGAAAGTGCTTTGGAAGGACTCCTTTGCAGTCTTGGAAGCTGTTATTTGTGGGTGTTTCTTTTTCTGGCTGGAGGTTCTTCTGTTCTGACCTTGGGTCAGACTCCTTGAATCAGACGCCCTGAATCACACAAGGTTCTTACAAGGATTTCAATGAGATAATATCTGTTAAGCACTTAGAACACTGAGAAGTGTGGCAGAGATTAAGCCATTTTTGTTCTCCTTGCCTTTGTCCAGTCCTTCTCTGGTCTTGGGGCCTCTCTGCTCCTCTCACCATTAGACTTTCCTGAGGAATAGAAAGAAATATCCCTTCCCTGAATGTTTGTAGCAATGTAATGTGTTGACTCCTGTGGATCCATTCTGCTAGCAGTGGCTCTTTCCTCCAGGGTAAAGAGTCTTCTGCTGACAAGACATGTAGTCGTGCCAGGGGAATGCTCCTTGTGCCACAGGAAAGCTTCACTGTCAGCAGGACTAATTTACAGGATCTCTTCCCCCCTTCTTCATGCCAACTGCTGCTGTAGGTGTGTCATTGTTTTCGTCCACCTATTTCTCCCGTGTTACATTTTCTTTTTAAAAATGCAAACAAAATCACAATATGTGAACCAGGAAAAGTTCAAGAAAGGCTCGATGTCATTCTAGAACTTGAGGTAAAAACTGTCACACATGAGGTTTTAAAGATATATCCACTATTGTGTATCGCCACATACTTACAAGCATTTAAAAATCCCTTGATCTATAGTTTAGGCTTGGGATAAACACAGCTGCTGGAGCCCTAAATTCAACTGCAAGTTCATAGATCCTTTTTTCTCTCTCTTCCAAATCTATTTTTTATTTTGTAACAAACATAGAAACGGTTACTCAAGGTTGCAGATGAACAGGAGGGAAAACCTAATGAATGTAAGCTAGAATTTAACTCCCCATTAACAAGAACAATCAGCTCAACATATAATTACCATTACTGAGAACATATTAAACCTGTTTCTAAAGGTTGCTCAACCTTTCAAGCCGAAAAAGAAAACAATGAGCCATACTTTTGCTCTGTAACATCCAAGGTCTCCAGAAATTTGCTATGTCAGAAATGAAGCCAGGAAGCGTAGCACTGATTATGTGGTAAGAGATCATTGACTGTCATGTGTTGTAGAAAGGGGAACCATGTGCATACAAAGTTGGAGAATGTCTTGTGAGACTCTAATTGATTAGTGTTCAATGTGGTACTGATCTTGTCCCTAATGAATTGTTCCCATACTTTGTTCCTCCAAGCTTCCACTATCGGAGGTTTAGCCGATTTCCAGACTGCTGCTATAGTGAGCTTAGCTGCTGCAAGTAGGATCGACATTAGGTTCAAGAGGGTCTCTTCACCTAGTGAAGGGTCTCTCAGGTGTAGGAGGATAGTTTCTGGTTCTGGTCTGTGACATTATATTGGTTATTTCTTCGACCACCTTCTCTCAGAATTGTTGTATAAGAGGACAACCCCACCAGCAGTGAAGATAATCTGTGATGTTCCCACATTTCCTCCAACACAGTGGAGAATATGTTGCCTTGATGTGGTATAAGCGAACCGGGGTATAGTATCAGCTGGAAAATAACTTAAAAATTTGAAATCAAATATTGAAAACTCTCAGTCTATTAGTTGAAGCGGACCAAATCAATGACCACTGAAGATCCGATAACCTTCTCCCTAGGTCCCTTTGCCAGGCATTTTCATACTTCATTCTTGGTGTGCTGTAGAGATCTGTAAGAATTTTGTACAACTTCGAGAGCAGGTGTTTTGACGAATCTGAATATGATTCTAGGAGAACCTCAAATTGTGATTTCGGTCTCTTGAAAACGCCACTGTCTGACAAGTGTCCAATAAGACTGCATAACTGATAATAAAGGAGCCAGGATAACTTTTTGCCAATCTTTTCCTCAAAGTGCGCTTTGTTGAATCTTTTTCTATGTTCCATAAGATCTTGGAGACAGAGTTCATAGATCTGATGCTATGTAAAAACCAATCATTGTTGGAAGTTGTCAATTTCTATTGAATCAAAGCCGCTGCACATAGTTTGTATCTTAGAATGTAGCCTCCTAGTACTTTCCTCTTTTCCCGTCTCTACCACTTCCCTGTGCAATTTAAGGAAGAAATTAGCAAATCACAGTTTGAATCTAGGATCATGGTGCCTTCTCTTAAGAGATGAATAATCTGGCCACATGAGCTTTATCATCTGTTGCAGTGTTCCTAAAATCCCAGCAATTAATGGATACTGTACCAGAACTCTTCAGGGCCATTTGGTGCATCTGAGACTCAATAAATCATAATTGTACCCTCTCTGTAAGATCTTAGTTTTTCACTTAGCTGCATGTATCTGACTGTAAGGTCAATCTCTTCTCCTTCTTCTCCTTCTTTTTGGTAGCATGTTGACTGTGTTATTCTTGATGATGGAGGATTTCTTTTGATGTCGAATCAGGAGGAATATATACAAGAGGTAAGGGTGTGATTTCAGTATGATGCACATTAGATTGTATAATCTCTTCAGATCAAGAATGCTTTCATAAAAGGAAACCATACCGTCCCACAAGCTTTGTTTCAGTTTTCAAATTTTTATAATCACCAGATTAGCATGTTCAGTATGTATTGTTTAGGGCTGGATTTGTGCAAAACCATTACATCTTCCAAGGGATAACATTGAATACGATGTGGATAAATGCCCTCCACTCAAGAATTTGCCCTAATAAGTCTTTGTTATTGCATTCTGTATATTGGAACCAGGCTACAAACTGAGAACTGGAAGGAAGGGAGTGGGGCTGAAGGATGAGCAGTCAAGCTCCAGGCACAGGATACTTGGCTGCTTACATATGTTAATGGGTCTGGCCTATGTAAGACTATTTCACACCTTGCTAGAATGGGATACCTAATGGAACAAAGACCACTAAGAGCTATGTATAATAAATCCTTCCTCTTGAAGCAGAAAAGGCTAAGTTACCCCTGGATGTTTAGACTTTCCCAAGGGAAATGACACATTTTCTGGACTTTGAGAAGAAGTTCTATTATCATATGGCTTCTGAGCAGGAAGGCCATGAAGGACTAAACCTTTCCTAGGGACTCCATATTGTCTGTGTGGTGAGGGACAATGGGCAGAAGTCCCAACAATGACAAGGTAATGCTGCTTTCAACTACCCCAACTTCAAGTAATACTAGCCTGTCCTTATTTACATATATTTAGGATAAGCAGTGAATGGACAGAAAGGGAATTCCATGTTCATCTTTGGTCTTCTGGGCAGTCCCACATTGGGACTGTCCATGAGCAGGCCTGCTGTGGAGAAAGTTTTTCTAGCTTTAAAAATCCATTAGGGACACCCCTCCCCCTTGGATAAATTGCAGTCCATTTTTCCACCTAAAGGCTGGCATGCATCAAGGAAGCAACACCTCCTTCCCTCAGATCCTTCTTTGCCTCCATTGAAGTTGGTTCGCTTAGCTTTGTCTCTCATGGTTCATTGAGTTTCTTCCTCTTGATCAGGTTGATTCATGTATTTTCTGAGGTATTTACCTCTTTCTTTGAAGCATTTAAAAAAAAAGGAAAAAGAGCTACATCAGACTTAGATCATGGCTGAAGCAATTTTGAGGCTTACCTCTTTCTTTCACACACATCCTTCGCTTGTCAGCAGGTGGCTGGGTTTCAATTAGGGATGTGCACACAAAAAAATGGTATTTTTCAGATTTGGGTATACCAAACCCAAAAAATATTGTTATATACCAATATTCTCAAATCCCAATATTAGTATGATATTGGAATTCAGGAAATAATCAATATTGCCAAATTTATTTGGCTCCATTCCATCCGTCCCTGATTTGCACTGCAGTGGCAGCATGCCTCAGCAAGGGAAGGAAAGGCATTTAAAGACAGGCATGCCACCAGCGCAACTTGGGGAGGGAAGGGAAGGCACACGCAGCTTGGCTTTGCAAAAGCCATTTAAAGGGTGCTTTCCTTTTAAATAGGTTTTGGAATGCCAAGTTCACCCAGAAGGTGAATTTGCACCACTTCAGCTAGTGAAGCTGAGCCTGAATAAAAGCAGAACAATATCAGCTTTTATTTGGGCTCAGCTAGATTGGTAGCTGAATCAGATTAGAAAATCTAATTCAGATGAATAAATACCCCAAAATACCAATAAAGTATTTTTCAGATATTTATTCGGCTCAGTGTATACCAAGCACATACCCCTAGTTTCCTCTATGAAGATGGTTCAAAATGGGCTTTTCAAAAAATGCACCCAGTGCAATGTTAAATGACTCAGCCTGATGATAATGAGCTTTGTTTGCTCTGCCTAGGCAAAGGGCATAATGTGGCTGCATTAAAGGCATGCCGGCAATTCATGCCAAAGGCACAGAGGGACAGGGTCTCCAAATTCAAGGCTGCTCAAACTTTGGGAGAAAGTCCTATCCTCTACCAACTCTCTGGCTACATCTCTAACCATGACTGAGAGCCCTTCAAAGCTACTGTCCTTGGCGTCAACCAGATTGGTTCTGTCTGTTCTGAGATCAGAGCTGCAGCAGCCTCATCCTCAGTCTATCTCCCCTGGTTCCAAGGAGTTCATTGGTACTACTGTGGAAGAAGTTCAAGGTTAAGACTAAACACAAGGAGAAGTCCAAATTGGACCTGAAGCACCATTGCTCACACTCTATTCTGGCACCAGATCCGGCTTGAGAAATTGAGGAGGCATTCATTCAGTCCCCTGAGGACCCACACTCTGTGATCTCTGTCTCTCACTCACTCCATCACTGAGAAAAAACTGGAAGTAGAACCAGGGCCTCCAATGGAACTGAGACTCCAAGGTCCGACCAGGCTGTGTCAGTTTCATGACCAAGTTTTCCATTGATGCCCTGAGAGCCTTATCCATACGTTATGTCACCTGCCTATTTACCTAAATGGGGTGACTGTTATCGATCCAGACCCAGGTTGGATCTGAGTGGTCATAGGATTTCCTCACCTTAAATGTTGTCTGCACCAGTTACAGCTTCTGCACCTGAGCAGGTCTCATGTCTTGGACTTGAAATCAAATCCAGGGAAGAAGAGGAGGAAGAGGCTGTTGTTGGATCAATGGTCAGCTCAGAGGCCCCTTCAGATCTGCTGCTCAGTGAAGGGGATGGATGTGACATCTGTTTTCCCCAACGACAAACTTAAATTATATGCAGAGCAGATGCTTTGCGTAGCACACTATTTGGTTATTGATTTCGCCACTACAGAGCAGCAACAAAAGACAAAGTTTTGACTTCGCTGTACTCAGATTCATTATGCATAGTTGCTTTCCCCGTATTGGAAGGATTTGTGGACATTACAAGTGAGTTATAGAGCAAACCAGCATTGTTTTGCACCACATCATGCTGGATAGAAAACTTGTACATGAACAAGAAAGAGGGTCAGTTAGAGTTAGTGAGGGAACAACAAACACAGCAGAAAAGTCCTCACCCACTGGCAGAAGACAATAATAAAAGGGGCAATCAGTTCCCCCAGGATAGGGAATTCCATAGTTTTGGTGCCATGACCAAGAAGGCCCTTTTTTGGATTGTCACCTCTTTAGCCTCAGACTGAATAAAAAGCATGAAAAAATATTGGAAACAGAAACAGTTTGTTTTTAATCTACTTTTTGTGATTTAGATTGGAAAATTCTTTGGCGAGATTGACCCTGGCCTCATGCGGAGTCTCATCAATATGTCACTGTATGCCTTTAACAAGTCTTATGACTATCAGTCGGTGTGTGACCCGGAAGAGGAACCTAGGCAAGGTGCTGGTCTCCGCTCTGCATACGTGGTCAGTATCCTCTTGACCTTCCCCACCAGTGTTCTCTTTCGGTTGTGTTTAGAACTTCTTGTAACACCGCACCAATGCCATTCTGTTTTCTAGCCTACAATTGCCGATATTTTACACCTAGGATGGTGGGCGTCTGCAGCTGCTTGGTAAGTTGACCTTTTCCAGATACGTTTTAATGCACATTTGAACAGCATGGTCTTGATCAGACCCCATAAGCAGGTGAATTTCCTCCACTGGAGCTGCAGGGCTCCAAATAGTCAAGTGTAATAGTCAACTAAATAGATAGTAATATCTTCTTCTGTCTTTATGTGTTGTATTAAACTTTGTCATAACAAAAATACGAAACAATCTATCTACCAGGATGTTGCGGAAAATATTTTTTTTACTCTCTGCAATAGCCCTGGCTGCCCTGACCTGGATGGCCCAGGCTAGCCCAAACTCATCAGATCTCAGAGACTAAGCAGGATCAGCCCTGGATAGTACTTGGACGGGAAACTACCAAGGAAGTCCAGGGTTGCAATGCAGAGGCAGGCAGCGGGAAACCCCTTTCTGAACATCTCTTGCCTTGAAAACACAAGTTGTGACTTGACAGCACTTTCCACCAATATCCCTGTCTATGGATCGTGATTTTGGGAAGGAATGCATATTATTCAGAAACCAGTATTTTATCTGTATATATTCATAACAGCAATTGGGTTTTCAAACCCAGAGATCTGGACTCATTGTACCTCATATGAAAATACTGTCCTGAAATGTGTTTTGTAATGTGAGGATCTGGGGCGTGGGGAAGCCCTTAGAGAAACTGATCAGATAAAACTCGGAAAGGACTAAATAAGGATGAGAGCCAGTTTGGTGTAGTGGTTAAGTGCGTGGACTCTAACCTGGGAGAACTGGGTTTGATTCCCCACGCCTCCATTTGCACCTTGCTGGATGACCTTGGGCAAGTCGTAGTTCTGATAAGAGCTGTTCTTGAAAAAGAGCAGTTTCTGTCAAGAGCTCTCCCAGCCCCACCTACCTCACAGGGTGTCTGTTGTGAGGAGGGGAAGGGAAAGGAGTTTGTAAGCCGCTCTGAGACATCTTTGGGTAGTGAAGGGCGGGGTATAAATCCAATCTCTTCTTCTTCTAAGGATCATTGCAGAAAAAACAGGAGGCTGCTATATAGTAGAGATTACTGGAATTTTCCCCATTCTTGCTCCATTGTTGTTTGCTAGGCCTGTTTACCCACATTTTGCTTTCCTTCTAGGTTCATGTGCAGAATTTCTAATTTGTACCTGTACCTGTGCAGTTTGTCAGCTCCAGCTGCTAATTTCTATCTTTTGTTCCCCATTTGGATAAGCAATGTACACAAACAGTGTCAGGTTTGGTTCCGCCCACCTTCTTGCCTTCATCTCCCCTCCCCAGGCCTCAGAGCTGCAACTTCAGAAGGGAGGGAGTTGGCTTCACCCTCAGCCTCCTCTTTCTGGGCTCCCATGCTGTACTGTTCTGCCGGGGCAGCAGAGCTAAAAGCTGGTCTGGGTGTCTTCTCCCCAGCCATCCTTGAGCATCTCTTTTTATTCCCCTCCACCTCATTCCACTTGTGTCTGTCCCCATCCATCTCCAACCTAGACCTGCCATTGGGCTGCCACCACCAAGTCCTGCCTACCTCAGGCCCTGTCCGCACCCTCCCATGCCAGCCTGGCTCCAGAGAGGGTGGTGCCCCTGGATCCGATGCACACACGCTTCCCCATAGCCAGTCTTCTACCCTGGTCCATGCCCCCACACCCATCTCTGGAGTTGAAGCCTCTGCTCTTTTCTCTGCTCGGCCCTGAGTTGTGAGTGAAGCAGGCATCAGTTCCTTGTTTCCTGCCTTGGCTCCCTGCGTGTCCAGGCTGTGCGTGCTGCCACTGCTGGGTCTTCTCTCTCTGGGGTTGGGCTGTTGGCTCTGCTCCTTCTCCCTGGCTGGCACTCCCCTTTCTGACCTCCAGCTGGGTAAGTCCCCGGGGCCCCTTGTTCCTTGGTCTGAGGCTCAGGTCCTCTCCTCTGTCGGGTTAAGGTGGGGCTGACAGTTGGAGTCCGCTAGCAGTGGGCCCTGGCACACACACCCCTAGTCCAGTGGGGGTCCTCCAGATGTTTGAAGACCAATGACAGTCAACGTTCAGATGATGGCACCCAGCCCAGTATTGAACTTGGAACATAGAAGGGAGCAAGGAGAGATACCAGTGTAACACCCGGGCATTATGGTCCTTCATCTTGGACATCCATAGTAAGGGGCCATGGTCTACCACCAAGGTGAACAGGTTGTTTACCAAATAATATTGCAGGGCCCTAATAGCCCACTTAACAGCCAATGCTTCCTATTCTACTGTAGAATATTTCTGTTTAGCCAGCTGTAATTTGCGGTTGATGAACACAATCGGATGTTCTTGCCCCTTCAACTCCTGGCCCAGTACAAGAGGCATCCATTTGCAAGATGAAGGGCTTGTCAAAACCTGGGTTTTGAAGGATGGGGGCTCTCATCACACTATGGCAAAGATCATCCAAGGCCCTGAGCTGCTGAGGAGTCCAGTGGATGTTATTGGATTGGATTGTCAGTGAGGGGCCCGGCCACAGTTGCAAAATGTGGGATGAAGTAGCTATAATAGTCAATGAGACCCAGAAACTGGTGCAATTGCTGGTTTTTTGTGTGGGTGTAGGGCACTGATCTTCAACGTGGTCTCTGTGCTTCACACCCATGGGATTCTAACGGATTTTCGCGCCCAGTCCCTCCGGGCATGTGCAGGAACCCCACCGTGCATGCCCAGAGGGGTGGGCATGGACATCCCGCCAGTTCCTTTCTTACCGCCGCGTTGTAAAGACCTCTTTCGTTGTCAGTCTGATCGGTTCGCTGATAGCCTTTGGATAAACCCTCTCAGCTCTTGGAAATTATGCCGGGGGTGGCCTTCACCTCCCTCCTCAGCAGATTCCCGTCACCCCCTCTGCACACGCCTGGCCCAGAAGAGCACCCCCAGCACATATGTTGATTCCCCCTGGAGCCCGGGGGGGGGGGGGAAGGAGCAGATCTGGCCGTGTAGCGCTTTGGCTGCTGTAGATGCAGGGAAGCGGGGTGAAGGGCAGCCCCAGCTCCATGTTGCCTTGGCTTTGTGCAGAGTTGGGCTGCTGCTCGCTTGCATTGCGCGCCCTGCATAAGGATCGGCGGGGGAATCCGCAGTGGCTGGGCTTGGGCATGCCCCCGACAGCTGCCCTCCTGTCACCACGGCTGGGGTGCTGCATCCACGCTGCTCAGGTCAGGCCATTGCTCCCTTCCCGGTGCCACTTCCCTCTGGAAGGGTTGGTTCCTCGCTCGTTGCTCCCTGCCACTGTGAGCTTCCTCTCAAGCCCCCCCCCAGCTGGGGTCTGGCTTGCACCCCTCTGAGGCCGGGTGTGTGTTGCCTTCGCCTCCCTCCTCAGCAGATCCCCCTCACCCCCTCTGCACATTCCTGGCCTGGAAGAGCGCCCCCAGTGCATGTGCTGATTCCCCGTGGATCCCGGGGCGGGGGGGGGAGGAGCGGATCTGGCCGTGGTGCGCTTTGGCTTCTGCAGCTGCAGGGCGAAGGGCAGCCCCAGCTCCATGCTGCCTTGACTTTGTGCTAAGTTGGGCAGCTGCTTGTTTGCATTGCGTGCCCTGCATAAGGAGCAGCGGGGGAATCTGTGGAATCTGTGGCAGTGTTTGAAGGCATCCGTCCTTCCTGGGTAAGGTGCCGTGTGCCACCGCGCTGATCTCCACTTCCTCTGTTATCTCCTCGACTGGGGTGGTGGTGTTCAGCTTTATTTTTAAAGCAAAAATGTCTTTGTGCCCCACCAGCTACATCTCCCTATCTTCTCTCTCCCCTTCTTTGAGACCTTTTCTCCCAGTGGAGTTCAAATGAGGAAACAAACGCTCGGGGCGGGGGAAGTGTTATGTGGAAGTGTAAGGCATGAGTGAAGCAGGTTTATCTTGAGGCAGATCATAGGACAGTATTGTCTAGTCTGGCTGACAACAGCACTCCGTGGTCTCTGGAGGTCTTTCACATCACCTACTATTGTACCTTTTAGCTACAGATGCTGGGGTTGAACCTGAGACCTTCTGCATGCCAAACAGATGCTCTACTGCTGAGACACACCACCTCCTAATTTATAGCCACAGCCTCTGAGTTCTGAATACTGGGATCCTACACACACACTTTTGATGTACTGAGGCAGAGCTAAGCTAATTTAACTTGTTGGTTGCCAGCATGTTGGATTTTTTTGTCCCAATTTCAATGGTAAAGACCTTGGGGCAGAGACCTTTAATCTGTGAAGTGCTATGTCTTTGAGTGGTTATCCTATATGGAGCTGCTGTAGCATAGTGGCTAAGGGACTCCCAATGCACTTCTTTTAAAGATTTATTTCAGTCTAGGCCCTTTGAAATCAAAGCCCTTATACTGAAATAAGTCTGCAGAGGAATGCACCATAAGCTACAAATCAGAATAATCTGTGTGTGAATCTTGCCTTTGCCCTGAATGTATGGTGTTTGATTTATATTTCACTGCTAACTATACAGCAGCACTGTGGTTTGCCATGAAAGGTATTTCCCATAAAAGCACAATCCTGTTCATGTTCACTGAGAAGACAGTTCCAGTATATTTTATGGGGCTTGTTCTAAGATAAGAGTGCATAGGATTGTAGCATTGGTAATATAAATATAACAAGGGGCGGACCCGCGATACTCGCGGGGGGGGAGGCAGAGGAGGAAGCAAGAGGTGGAGGTAAGTACTCCCCCATCCCGCCGGTTCCCCCGTCTCCTCCACCCCCCCTTGATCTCCCCCCATTGCTCTCTCCCCCACCCCCATCCCGGCACTGAAGCGAGGGCCGAGCAGCTTTCCGCTCGGCCCTCGCTACACTTTCCCCCCCATCCTGGCTCCAAAGCAAGGGCCGAGCGGCTTGCCGCTCAGCCCTCGCTGCTCTCTTCCCGCCCCCTCCGCGGCGGTGGCGGGAGGCCGGCTGCAGAGCGTTCCCTGCGCATGCGCAGGGGATGCTCTGTCAGTTTTGGGGGGATTTAAACATCCCCCCGATATTTTTTACAGGGTTTCAGATTTTTGTGCACACCTGGGGACCGCCCCACATGTGCACAAAACTCTCCCTCCCCTCCAGGTCCCCCCGATGTGCGGAAATAAGTATCCACACACCAGGGGCCAACTTCGGAATTAGATATATAGATGAGAAATGGTTACCACTTCAATTTTCTCATGCCCTGAACAATGGAAAATAAACTGACAGAACTTTTTCTTTCTTTCCCTCTTTCTCTCTCTCCCTCTCTTTCTTTCTTTCTCTTTCTTTCTCTTTCTTTCTTTCTTTCTTTCTTTCTTTCTTTCTTTCTTTCTTTCTTTCTTTCTTTCTTTCTTTCTTTCTTTCTGCGCAGATCTGTGTGTCCCCCCCCCATAGCTAGCAATCCAAAAGAGTCCAGTGGAACTTTTAAGACCAAGTTTTATTCAGGTACAAAATCTCCCTCCTGTGAGGGCAGATCTGTGCGTTTCCCTACCCCCAAATAGTTAGCAATCCAAAAGAGTCCAGTGGAGCCTGAGTGGTGGGTGTTGCCTTCTGGCACACTTCCGGTGATGTCAGGGGGTGTGGCATATGCAAATAAGTTATGCTAATAGGTTATGCTAATGAGCTCCTGCACCTCTTTTTCTACAAAATGACCCCTGCTGGTGGCCATAAGTGATCTACCATTGTTATTTCCCTAAGCAATATTATTCTTTTCTTTTCTTTTTTGAATTCAGGTCTATCTTGCAGCAGCTCTTTTTGGGCTTGACATTTCCACATTTCCTTGGTGCAGGTAAGTAATGAACTGGGTGTGTTACAGCAAAAGTTCCCCACCCAGAGAAGTCATCTTGCTTTTGCATTTTCTGGCTCTGAAAATGTTCTCTTTCTCACAGTGGAAGTAGAGGAAGAAGACTTCAGTGCCATCCCATCGAAACAGAGCTGCATAACGGTCCAAACTCAGTACTTCTTTGAGAATGATGTAAAATCATTTAATAATATCCTAGACTGTGTAAACTGTTCTAGGTAGGGGTTTTTTTCCTTTGAGTTACAAAATATATACAGCATCTGCTATGCTTTCTCTTAATAGGGTTTTGAGTGTTATTTAGAGATGTGAGATTAATGGGAAGCGAGAAATTATTCAGTTAATCATGTATTTACAGAAATATGTATATTTATTTATTTAGAAAATGTTTGTGCCACTGTTCAAGAGAACCTGTTTCAGGCAGCTTTCAAAGCAAAACAAGATAAAATCATAAAACAGCATTGAAATATAAATGCATATGTGTACATAATATAATGTATACATGTTCTAATTCATAATAGACTTCAGAAGTTTGCAGATCTTTGAATAGTGCTGTCAGGTGCATTAAAATTATAGCACTTTTTACAAAAGGAAAATCAGTCCAAGGAGCAGAAATGGTTGAAGTCCATTTATTTGTTTCCTGTTTGACTTAGATGAGAACACAGGCTTCAAATTTTGTCCTAGAATATCCACTGATTTGCCGGGGCGGGTGGGTGGGAGGATCCTAGTGAGGATCCACTAATTGAATTTGACAAAGTGAGTTCTATTGCACAAAAGCTGATGCTGGAATAAGATTTTGTTAGCACAAGACTCAGGTTTAGTTTTGCTCCCACAGACTAACATGGCTAGAAATATCATAGGTTAGTCTGAAAGATATATATAGTGATAAAAGTAACACAAAGTAATGTTAGATTTGACATAAGGTAGACTGTAAGCCACAAATTAACTGAATACATATATATTGTGATAGCAAAGAATTCTTGAGTTTTATTTTGTGGGAGCAGGCTCTCATAGACAGTTCTCTTCCCAAAGTCTGATATCTGTATAAAGGTAAAGGTAAAGGTTCCCTTGCTCGAAAGCCAGTCGAATTCGACTCTAGGGTTGCGGTGCTCATCTCTGTTTCAAAGCCGAAGAGCCAGCGCTGTCCGAAGACGTTTCCGTGGTCATGTGGCCGGCATGACTAAACACCAAGGTGCACGGAACGCTGTTACCTTCCCACCAAAGTGGTCCCTATTTATCTACTTGCAATTTCTTGCTTTCGAACTGCTAGGTTGGCAGGAGCTGGAACTAGAGACAGGAGCTTACCCTGTCTTGCGGCACCCGGGTCTTGAACCGCTGAACTACTGACCTTCCACAGCCTGCAGTTCAGCGTCTTAACCACTTGAGCCACCGCAGCTCCTGATATCTGTATAAATCATGCCAATTGACTTTTTAACAATTGACTTTTAAAGTTGCATTCTGTTGGTGCTCAGAAAAGGATTATTACCTCCTCCTTTGCATTAACTAAGCACAACATCTTTATGCTGTATTCTGTTTCTGCCCACAGACTGTTTCATGCTGAAAAAATTTCCAATACAAACTTAGTATTCATTATCAGTGACAGCAAACAGATGTGCCGTTACTGTGATGCAAAACCACTCATGCAAGCAGAAAAGCCGGGTATCCTTTGAAGTTGGAGATTATTTGGGTTTGTTTACAAAGGATTAAAATGGAAAGTAATCTGGAGTTCTCTTGAGTGTCATCCTCTCACCTTTGCCAGTGACAGTCTTTGTGTAGTGGAGGAATATCACAAATGCATCATACTTCTAGGTGTCGAACAACATAAATGTGGAGTAATTGTTTTTTAGCATAGTATCATTGAAGCTACTATTTGCATCCCCACTCACAGTGGTTGACCTTGGGCCTGTCACAGACTCTCAAGCCCATGATTGTGTGTATCCTTGGGGGAAGAATGGGGTGGGGGAGGAGCTGCAACCTAGTCAGCCCAGAATCTTTTTTACAAGAAGAAGGTCCAAGGTTCAATCCCCAGCATGTTGGAGTAAAAGGATCAGGCAGTAGGTGAAAGATCTCTACCTAAAACCTGGGAAAGCTGCTGCTGGTCAGAATAGACACTATTGACCATGATGGACCAATGGTCTGACTCAGTATAAATCAGCCTCATGTGTGGCAGGCAGACAGACACAGACAGATAGTTAAATTGTAGCCATTAGCCATTACAATTTTTAAAATATGTACAATTTACAGCACTGGAATTTGAATTAGATTGAAATTATAACAACCTCTAAAAATATGCTCATTCAGTATTTAAATTAATTAATTTATTTTTATTTATTATCAAATTTGTACCCCACCTTCCTTGCAAAACAGGCTCAGGGCGGCTTCCAACATGACATATATACAGCTTAAAAAGACAATTATTAAAAACGCTACAAATCAACAAGCATAAAGTGCTGGCGGCAATTAAAAGTCACTTAAATTGGAGGACGTCTACAAAGATTTGCAAGCCGTTGGCAAGTCACGGTCCAGGACAGATGGGTGCTGGAAACAGTAACTGACAGATACTCCATAGAGTTCAAAAGTCTCCCTCCCAAACGAATCCTGCAGATCCCGAAGAACAGGTCCAACCAAAGGCACCAAGTTCTGCAGAAGGCAATCCAGAATCTGATAGACATTGGAGCTATAGAGCCTGTACCGAAGAATCAACTATCTCAAAGCGTTTACTCAATCTTCTTTATAGTTCCAAAAAAGAATGGGGACTTCAGGGCGATCCTAGATCTAAAGTGGTTGAACAGATGGATCAAAACAAAACCATTCAAGATGGAGACACAAGTCAACTCTGTCAGTCATCCAGAAGGGTGATTTTATGGCCTCCATAGATCTATCTGAGGCCTATTTACATGTCCCAATAAGAGAGTCTTATTGGCAGTTCCTCTGCTTTGCCTACAACAGGAGACACTTCCAATACAAGGCACTTCCATTTGGTCTGAAATCGTCTCCCAGGGTGTTCACGAAAATCTTGGTGACACTAGTGGCACACCTAAGAATGGAGGAGATTTCCCTGGCTCCATACTTGGACGATATTCTTGTCAAAGTACCCTCTCTCGACAGCGGGATGGAAGCGGTGAGGCACACAATAGAGTGTCTTCAGAATCATAGTTTTGTGATCAACAAAAGAAAGAGCATTCTTCACCCGACACAAACGATAGTCCACCTAGGGGTACAAATCGATACAGTTTGGGACAGAGTTTTCTTGACTCAGGAGAGACAACAGAAAATCCAGTCTATGATGAAAAATGTGTTGGAGAGGCAAAAGATAGAAGTAATGACCTTGGCCCAACTGCAGGGCTTAATGGTGTCTTGTCAGGAGTTATTCCAGTGGGCAAGATTTCACACCTGTCCTCTTCAGAGGTTTCTTTTGCCCTTTCAGGAGGTCATTGCAAACAAAAGGACAAGACTAGTTTATATACCAGAGAATCTCAAAACAGAATTAAGCTGGTGGCAGGAACCGGCGAGATTTCAGCAGGGTGTTCCACTGCAAGAACCAAAGAGGGTGGTGATGACCATTGATGCCAGCCTCTCAGGCTGGGGAGCACATGTACAAGGAAGGATGACTCAGGGCAACTGGTCACAAAAGGACAAGACACACAGTATAAATTTCCTGGAGTTATGTGCCATCAGGCTGAGACTGAGGGACTTTCAGAACCTGTTATCAGGATGCCATCTCTTGGTAGAGGCAGACAATATGAAGGCAAAGGCATATGTGAATCGGCAGGGGGGGGCAAATTCAAATCTCTCTGTCATGACCTGGGCTGTGCCACCAGGGGCCTACAACTCCCAGAAGCCCCTGAGAGGTTTTGGGGCCAAAATTGACCAATAGGGAAGAAGAGGGCTGGGGAACAAAAGGGCTGGTGCCAGAGTAGAAGCTGTTCTTTCTTCCAGAGGGCAGAGCCAGAAGGAAGACTGCTGCAGGAAGAAACCCTTATCCTGAGGGAAAGGTGAGTAGTCTAGTGTCACTTGGAATAGTGAGCTAGGGACAGTACGTATTTAGACGCGTTAGGGCATTTGATTTTTCTTTTCTTTTCACCCACTTACTGTTATTATTCTACATCTTGTTGTTTGACCTCTTATAAAATAAACCTTTTCCTTGTTTCACTCTGCCTGGTCTTCACACCTGCTATTCGGCCAAAAGGGAGGTCTGAAGGTCTTGGGAGGGTGCTCTGGGCCTTCTCAAGGGAACCTAAATCCAGAGTGGTGGCAGTGTCAGGTGACACCCCACCTGAGCCGTGACACCCTCCTTGAAGAAGCTTGCCGTCTGACACAGTGGTCAGAAGAACATCTACTGTCCATCAAGGCGATCCATGTTCCAGTATTGATACCAGGCCGGCTGTTCTGCAGCCTTTTCTCTGTGTGGCAGTTACATGCCCAAATGCTATGACCCCTTTCCTTCTCTGTCCCAAGAGGGTTTGGAAGCCTGAGCCTGCCCACTACACAGTAGCTCAGTTGGCAATTCAGATCCTAAGGTGCTCCTTGTCCCTTATCTACAAGTTTAGATCATTTATGGATTTTTAAAAAGCAAAATTTGAGAAAAAAATGTTTAAATAAATATTAACGAATTAAAGGTAAACAATGTGTCAGTCTATCATCCATATTCCTTAACCAAAGTTTAGATGAAGGGCCTAACCCCTGTGAAATGGTGCAGCAGCCAAGATACAGGAAAGGACCTGATGCCTGCTTCGACGATGATGCTGCGGTAAGCTCTGGCCTTCCTCATCAGGGAAGAGGAGTCTTCCCATCTATAGGAAATGTTTAGAATAGTTTGCACCTTTTAGGTGCTTTTCTGCTGTAACCTCTCTCTCTCATCGCTCATATTTGTGACTCTGGACTACGGTGTCTCTATTTCAAGTGTTGCCATGATGAACATGAACTTAACGGCTGCTTTTTCTGAGTTGCCTTTGCCAGTATTACTGTACTTTCACACAGAATTCCAATATTGCTATTAGGCAGAGAAGCTTGTTTGAAGCTGGAGCAGTCTGTGCACACATATGGGAAAGCAAACCTCCATTTCCCATGGTTCTTTTCCAAACAACATTTGGTTTCATTCCTATGGATCTTTCCACCAATAGGAGTGCTTTCCTTCAGCACAGGGAGCCTTCCCCCTCAAGCATAGAAGGCACCTTATGCGTGAGGAAAACACTGCTAGTGGAACAGATCCATCAGATCCAACTCTTTGAAAAGTTGATTTTAAAACATGCAGCACTAAGGCCTTTCTGTTTACTTTACTGATGCCAGATACGTTACCTCCCTCCACCTTTCTCCAGGTCATGGCAGACTGCACTCTAAACAGTGGCTTGGATTAAGTGATCAGCAGCCTCCAGGCATGAGAGATCCTCCCTTCAGTCAAGGGAGTTGATGCCATCGGGCCTCTCTGCTGTCTTTGTAACATCCGGATCACCTGAGCTGTTATATTAGCAAAGATATATGTATGAAAATCTGGCTGTCAGACTGGTAGAATTACATGCTAGTACCCTATTGATACCAGTATGATGAGCTGCCATTAAACTCTTCCAGAACACATTTGCTGGACCTAGCAAAGGTGCAGCCATTTAGTGTGCATGTGTATCAACACACCCACACACAAGTGGGCAGGGGTTATTCTGTTTCAAAGCCAAGAGAAGAAAATATGGGAGATAAACAAAGGAGCACATATAAAAATGCACACCAAACGTATGCACTATTTAGCAACCACTCCATTCAGCCTTCCTCCAACTGAAGTGTCTCTTCCTCCAATAAAAGAGTGGCTGGATATTCCACAAAATATCACAGTGCTGGATCCAGACTAAGTTTTCCAGTGGCAGAATGGAACTTTCCTACTTACTGTCTGACACTTCAGCTCAGTGATCTCCACGAAATGCTGCTCTTGGGGCCTGGGGGATTAGGAAATGACATGAGGTGGGTCTGCAGTAGTGTGTGTGGGGGGGTAATTGGAGGAAATTGCCAATTCAGTCTGTATCAGACCCAGTGTAATATAAATGTGAAACCAGTACAGTAATAAAAAAGCTCACACAATTAAGAACTTCCATACAAGAAGATCTTATGTTATGCCATAATTTCCACATAAACTGAAGTTTCTAAAAAAATAGGGCATATGTCCTTCAAATAATGATTTATTCTCAGAAAGGAGATTGTGGGCAAGTAGTCCACTGGCCTGGGTTGGATCCACCAGTGTCTCCCTATGCACAGAGCAATTTCTTCCCACCGAATGCAGTTTTCTTTCCTTCCTCCTCCTCTGGCACTTGGGGTTGCTACAGGGTGAGGGATGCAAGAAAGTAATGCTCTGTGGATTGAAGCCATTCTTCGGTGGTCCTGGGAGTGGGGCAGTCCTTACCCTTGGGAACAGGCTCCTCCTCCTGGACAGGGTTGGTTTCCTCAGATTGGTCCAGGAAGGGGCCTGTCCCCTGAGACCATCCCAGTCTCGCCATCCCTGAGGCTTGAGCAGGATGTGTTTCACAGGTGCTCTGTAGAGTGCAGCAGTACAAGAAGAAGAAGAAGAAGGGAGGGAGAAGGGAGAGACCCTCCCTCTTTGTTATCTTTGAGCTACAGTCGGCAGCAGATCGCAAAGGCAGTCGATAGCGCTGGGAGATCCCCAGCAGCTGTGGCTGTGTACACAGACTCCCACAGGGCACAGCCTGCAGCTGGAGGTCCCCTCCCCAACCAACACACGTCAGGGGAAGTGGTTGAGTCTGCAAGGAGACTGGGGTGATGCTGCAGACCTGGCAGTCTCCCCGGTCTCAGGGGACCTGGTGTGTGGAGGAACAGACAAGCTGGGAACCTCTAGCCCTCACCAGAATCATGGTAAATCCATTGTTGTTGTTGTTGTTGTTCAGTTGCACAGTCGAGTCCAAGTCTTTGCGAACCCATGGACCACATCACGCCAGGCCCTACTGTCTTCTGCCATCCTCCAAAGCTTGCTAATTTCATGTTTGTTGCATCGATAACACTGTCTAACCATCTCATCCTTTGCCATCTTCTTTTACCTTCAGTCTTTCCCAGCATCAGGGTCTTCTCCAGTGAGTGCTCCCTTCTCATTTGGTGGCCAAAGTATTTGAGCTTCAGTTTCATTATCTGGCCTTCCAGGGAACAGTCAGGGTTGATTTCTTTTAGGATTGACTGATTTGTTCTTCTTGCAGTCCAGGGGACTCTCCAGAGTCTTCTCCAGCACCATAATTCGAAAACATCTATTCTTTCCTTATGGTCCAACTCTCACAGTCATACATTACTATTGGGAATACCATTGCTTTGACCATACAAACTTTTGTTGGCAGGGTGATGTCTCTACTTTTTATTACGCTGTCAAGGTTTGCCATCGCTTTCCTCCCAAGGAGCAAGTGTCTTTTAATTTCATGGCTACAGTCACCATCTGCAGTGACCTTGGATCCCAGAAAAGTAGTCTGTCACGACTTCCATGACTTCCCCTTCTATTTTCCAAGGAGTGATGGGGCCGGATGTCATGAGCTTAGGGTTTTTTATGTTGAATTTCAAGCCAGCGTTTGTGCTCTCCTCTTTCACTTAGAGCAAGAGGCTCTTGAGGTCCACTTCACTTTCTGCCATTAGAGTGGTATTGTCTGCATATCTCAGGTTGTTGATGTTTTTCCCAGCAATCTTAATTCCGGCTTGTGATTCACCCAGGCCAGCTAGTTTCTCTACCTCTTCGAAACCCAGCTTGTACTTTTGGCAGTTCTCTATCCATGTACTGCTGAAGCCTAGCTTGTAGGATCTTTAGCATGACCTTGCTAGTGTGTGAAATGAGTGCAATTGTGTGATAGTTTGAACATTCCTTGGCATTGCCTTTCTTTGGGATTGGAATGTAAATGGACCTTTTCCAATCCTGTGGCCACTGTTGCATTTTCCAAATTTGCTGGCATATTGAGTGCAGCACTTTAACAGCATCATCTTTTAAGACTTTGAATAGCTCAGCTGGAATACCATCACCTCCGCCCATTTGACTTCACACTCCAGGATGTCTGGCTTGAGGTCAGTGATCACACCGTCGTGGTTGTCAAAGACATTGAGGTCCTTCTTGTATAGTTCTTCTGTGTATTCTTGCCATCTCTTCCTAATCTCCTCTGCTTCTGTTAGGTCCCTACAAATTTTGTCCTTTATCATGACCAGCTTTGCACGGAGCATTCCCTTAATTTCTCCAATTTTCTTGAAGAGATCTCTAGTCCTTACCAATCTATTGTTTTCCTCTATTACTTTGCATTGTTCATTCAGGAAGGCCTTTTCACCTTTGCCTTTCACTTTCCTTCTTTCCTCTGTTATTTGTAAAGCCTCATCAGACAGCCACTTTGCTTTCTTGCATTTCTTTTCCTTTGGGATGTTGCTGATTGCTGCCTCCTGTTCAGTGTCACAAACCTCCGTCCATAGTTCTTCAGGCACTCTTTCTATCAAATCTAGTCCCTTAAACCTATTCTTCACCTCCATTGTACATTCATAAGGGATGTGATCTAGGTCAAGCCTGAATGGCCTAGTGGTTTCCCGACTTTCTTCAGTTTAAGCCTGAATTTTGCAATGCATAGTTCATGATCTGAGCCACAGTCAGCTCCAGGTCTTGTTTTTACTGACTATATAGAGCTTCTCCAATTTTTACTGCAAATGACATAATGAATCTGATATCAGTGTTGCCCATCTGGTGATATCCATGTGTAGAGTCGCCTCTTAGGTTGTTGGAAGAGGGTGTTCGCTATGACCAGCATGTTCTCTTGACAAAACTCTGTTAGTCTTTGCCTGGCTTCATTTTGTTCTCCAAGGCCAAACTTGTCCGTTATTTCGGTTACCTTTTGATTTCCTACTTTAGCATTCCAGTACCCTATGATGACAAGGACACCTTTTTTGGTGTTAGTTCTAGGAGGTGTTGTAGGTCTTCATAGAACCGGTCCATTTCAGCCTCCTCTGCGTCAGTGGTTGGGGATTACTTGGATTACTGTGAAGTTGAATGGTTTGCCTTGGATTTGGACTGAGATCATTCTGTCGTTTTTGAGATTGTATCCCATTACTCCCTTTTTCAATCTCCCATTGACTATAAAGGCCACACCCTTTTTTCTATGGGATTCTTGGCCACAATAGTAGATGTAATTGTCTTCTGAGTTAAATTCACCCATTCCCGTCCACTTTAGTTCACTGATTCCCAAGATGTCGATGTTCAGTCTTCCCATTTCATTTTTTACCACATCCAACTTCCCTTGATTCATAGATCTTACATTCCAGGTTCTTATGGTCCTGGTCTTTGCAGCATCAGATTTTCACCATCAGACATATACACAACTGAGCATCCTTTCGGCTTTGGCCCAGCCACTTCATTCTTTCTGGGGTTACTTGTACTTGCCCTCTGCTCTTCCCCAGTAGCATATTGGACACCTTCCGACCTGAGGGGCTCATCTTCTGGCATCATATCTTTTAACCTTTTGTTACTGTCCATGAGGTTTTCTTGGCAAAGATATTGGAGTGCATTGCCATTTCCTTCTCCAGTGGATCACGCTTTGTCTGAATTTTCCACTGTGGCCTGTCCATCCTGGGTGGCCTTCCACGGCATAGCCCACAGCCTCATTGAACCATGCAAGCCCCCTTGCCACATCAAGGCAGCGATTCATGAGAGAGGGTAAGCCCTTATGGAGCAAAGGAGGGCAGGGTTGTAGACTGGGGGGAAACCCCAAACAAACCCTCAAGCTATCCAGGGAGGAAGAAGAGGAAATT